GGAAACAGAGCTGTGGGTACTGAGGGAGGGTGTCAAGAGGCCGTCCATGATGACCCGCCAGGTCACCTAGAGTTCCAATGAGAGCCACAAAAACACTCCAACACAACTACGTGGATGGAAGGCACGCATGGTAACTATGGAGTTCTTCAGGAAGGAAGATGGCTTTTTCCTTGTTTGTTTGTGTGCTGACCTTGGGGCTTGAATTCAGGACCCAGGTGTGCACCATTTCTAGAGTAAGCCTTCAAGTAGGTAATAGAGAAAATGAGGCTGGGGGGTGGGGGGTGGCGGTGGTGGCAAGGACCATGCTGGGTCACAGAGAGCACATGACAAAGAGCCATCCAAACCCAGGCCAGCAGAGCCGGCAACCAAATATGCTCAGCTGTTCTAAAGCCACCATCTCCCTTCATTCTCATTCTCATTGCATTATAGCAGAAAATGGGCAACAAATTCTATTAGCATCAGAATGATGCAAAAATCATCTAACTTAATTCCACGAATGCTTTCAAAGGTCAGGTTCTAGAAGTTACTGGCACCATAGCAACTTTTAATTCAGAAATCCTGTTCCTAAGTTTTAAATTTTATTTTGTGAAGTTTTCAATATATAAAAAGGAATCTAGGAACAGTAATAAGAAACCAGGGCATCATTAATATACCAAATCCAGGGAGGATACATTTCCAAAGGAGGGGCACGGAAACAAATGGCTCCTGGGACAGCCCATGAGCTCTGTCTAGCTGTCTACTAGCCTAATGCCCATGGAAACACAATAAAGGGAAAAAGGGCTATAATTACTTAACATTTCCTTCCCTCCCTCCCCCCTTTCCTTCCTTCCTTCTCTCTCTCCTTCCTTTTATTGTTATGATTGTGGTATGGAGGATTCAACTCAGAGCCTCTTACCTGCTAGGTACTCTAGCACCTGAGCCATGCATGCCCCTAGTCCTGTTTTATGTTTTCTTCTGAAAATCAATTTGGGGCTACTTCTTGCCATCATGGGCTACTTTATTGATCAATGTCATGCCAATATTTCAATTTCCATTATCTTGACTAGTGAAGGTTCCTTTGATTCTTTTTTTTTTGAGGTGGGGGCTGGTACTAGAACTTGAACTCAGAGTCTCATACTACCTCATTCTGCTTGCTCACAGTTGGCACTCTACCAATTGAGCTATGCCTCCAGCCTAGTTCTTTGCTGGTTGATTGGAGATAAAATCTAGTTGACTTTTCTGCCCTGTCCTGCTCTGAACTGTGATCCTCTGGATCTCAGCCTCCGAGTAGTTAGGAGAACACGCATGGACCACTGGCACAAAGCTACTGAAGGAAAAGAAGGCTGTTCTACAGAAAAGCATGCAAGATGGGACAGGCTGGTGCTGGGAGGGAGGGAGGGAGGGAGGGAG